CCCTTATATCGTGGTTAGCGATTCGGAATGTAATTGTGATACAGCAGAGCGTCGTTCATCCGAATCAATTGAAGACGGGGTTGTTCGGATAACCGATTATGTACGAAAAAATATATTAACCTATCCCGTGTTGAAATTTTTCTCCGTTGCGTGTCGCTTTGCGTGGAATTTTCTTCGATGTTAAGCCTAACGTATACTTTTTAAAATAATAATCGTGACTATTGTATCGTTAAAAATTATTTCTTTATTTCTTACAAACAAAATAAACATATTGAAAAATATAAAAACCAAAAAATATATACTTTAGAAGATGATCAAGTATCAAAAATGTTCGATTCAGCACGACACACAATCATCAGAAAAACACCACACAAAAAGTGCCAGTGCTGCCAACTAAAACACACACACTAACAAATAAATACAGTCGACCCCCTTATAACACGGTAGATACGTTCCGAGTTTTATGAATCCAGCTTCTAGGAGTCCAGCCAATCACAGTCCGGCACGTATACAGTTTACGGACTACGGCTGTTTGAAAAGTTTCTTCCATAAAATTAATCGATTCTAGACTAATTCGACTCAACATTTCCAAAATATGTATAATTTTTTGGGAATAATCCATATAAACTATGCTATAAACAAAAAATTATAGGATTACTTACCGAGTGTGCACCGTTCGACTACGCCGTTGCTTAAGCTTGTTTTCATCGTGGAGATTGTCATCGACTGGCGCTTGCATGCTGCCTGATAAATTATTTTTTTCTGAAAAAATTCGCTGAACTTTAGAGACATCATTAATATAAATATAATTTTTATGGACGTTAAACAATAAATGGTTTTTAGTAGGTCCGCTGCTCGTTTAAACTCAACGGTTGGTGCAATCCTGTCGCGACACGAGTCGGCGATGACGTTTTACCGAATTATACGAGTTTTTTAGCATGTTTGTACGAATACTGTCGCAATTTTTTCGCCGTGATATAGGAATCCGAAGTATAGAAACCCGTGTTATGGGGGGCGACTGTATTGGAGTAGCCCAAGATATAGGCAAAGATTGCAGCGCCACAGCACTAGCGAAAATTTAAATTTGCCGACTGGAATGCTTTCGGATAACCGACATTTCGGATAAACGACGCTCTACTGTATTAAAAATGCATTTAGAGAAGTTTACGGTTTTTACTGGCTTATTGAATAAACGATACGAATAGACCGTAGACCATCACTAACGCGCAATTGACTGATTGCCCCTGGATGTCGGTTTCTTACCGAAACACAGCTTCTCTATCATCAAATGTCACGGCACGCCACTGCGACTTACCAACACACTCCCCACTCGATTTGCCCTCCTAGCCATCCAACGACTCCGAGATCAAGTGCAGATTAAGTGGTCAGTACGAGATTAACTCCTGACTCACTGCTTATCTCACACATCCCTACCCTCAAAATTAAGCTTTTTGTCATTTTATAATACAGTAGAGCGTCGTTTATCCGAAAGCTGGTTATCCGAAAGCATTCCAGTCGGCAAATTTAAATTTTCGCTAGTGCTGTGGCGCTGTAATTTTCGGCTATTTCTCGGGCTACTCAAATATTTTACGTTTTTGATACTAAATTAACATCTGAAGTATAATTTTTTATTGTTTTTATATTTTTCAATATATTTATTTTGTTTGTACAAAATAAAAAAATAATTTTTAACGATACAATAGTCTTCGTTAGGCTTAACATCGACAAAAATTCAACGCGAAGCGACACGCAACGGAGAGAAATTTCAACATGGGATAAATTAATATATTTTTTCGTACATGATTCGTTATCCGAAAAATAAGTTATCCGAACCACCCCAGTCCCCAATTGATTCGGATAAACGACGCTCTACTGTAGTTAAAAATATGAAAAGCTTTTAAATAAAATAAGATAACAGATGGTGCCACCAAAATTTTAAATGTTGCCGGGAAAGTTGAGCAACTCGTTGCTGGTTTATTTAAATTGTCAATAAAATGTATAAGTTGTGAAGTAATTTAATTTGATCTGGAAATTGGCATATAATAAAAAGTACGGTACACAAAAGAGCCACACCCTCAAAACATTTTCTTTCCATTGATGTGTAAAGAACAAATAAATAAACGTTTGCAAATGCAACGAAATAATGACCAATATAGTGCCAATTGCCCGAACTGAAGGAAAATACTTTTATACCGATTCCCTATCAGTAAATTTACACACACATCACTTCCATTAGAAGTTGCCATAAAGCTCTTTTACTTGCATTTTTTTTCTTTACAGTAATATGTGTACACGTGAACTTTAGGTATAGACATGAGTATAATATGTCATAAGGAATCAGACCACATTTATTCAATATCATCTAAATTTCAAACAGAACGGGAGCTATTAAATTAAAATTTAATCGATTTAACGTGGAGCTACTAAATTGGATGATTACTGATGGACTGACATTTATTTAAACAATACTCTAATAAATGAATATCCATTAAAATACTCGACTAAGTAAATATCTAGTAAATATGATTTCGTCGTAAATCACAGAAAATTATAATGGATAACGTGCAGGATAATGTTTTACAATAACTAAATGCATAATATCGATTCTTTTGATCAATTGAAGGTAATTTCAGTTAGTGACGTATCACTTATTGAAGAAAAGGTTGAAGGCTGCTTCTATGTTAAGTATATGAAATTTAAAATTTGTAAAATATTTGATAATATAATCAGTGGCGTACCGTGGGTGTCAGCCGCCCGGGGCGGAGGAAAATTTCGCCCCCTTATTTAGGTATTTCAATTTAAAACACCAAAATTCAGTTTTGTCAAAGAACAAGCAATGAAATTTCGTGCTAGTGCAGCGACCTGTTTAAAATAGTTCTATTGGATATTAGTGGTGTATATGAACACGAATAAATCGTAAAGGCAAAAAAAAAGTCAACAGGTTTCGCAGGATTTCGTCGGATTAAAAATTACTAGTTCACAGGGAAGGCAAGCCGATTCCCGGACTGTCCGGACGATAGCACTATCGTAGGCGCGATGAAAGTATAGATTAGAAAGTTTCAAATTTTTACAAGATATTATTATTATTTATTGTGAAATTTTGCCGCCCCCTAAAAAGTGCCGCCCGGGGCGGGCCGCCCCTGCCGCCCCCACTACGGTACGCCACTGAATATAATTGTTATAAATAACAAGTAACTAAGCTTATAGAAATAAGTCGATAGTATTTTATAAATTTCCAGTGGAGTAACTATATTTTTGTCTGGACTGGTCCGGAGGATGATGTAAAAAGTACAATAGAAATATAGACCAATTATCATTATAATAAAAAATCAGTTATTCATAGACAACGTTTTGTAAAAAAAATATTTATTAATTCATTTTTAATAAATCTTTTGTTTAAATTTTATTCTTAAAGTCTCTGCAGAAGATCAACACCCACATCACCCCCATAAGTACGCCATAGTTCTTATTGAATATATACGTGTATATTCCATAAAATAACTTAAACTAAAAGTAATTCTTTCCTCATAAATTGTGCTAAACAATTCAAATATGGATCCGAATTTACACGATACAATTTGCATGAGTTGTTTCCTCAGACCATGCCGGATGATGTCTCTCATCTACGGTTTAGACATATTCCACTCATGTAAATGTAAGGCAGATATTGCCATTTTGAAAAATGCTCGATTGAAAAATATTTATATCAAATTTATAAGTATTATTTTATGGATACATTCGTTTTTGTTCTTCTTGCATGCGACACCGGCTATCAGTAATTATACACTTTGCAAAGGATGGTCTGATTATATTAGTTCCGAAACTACAATATTGGATGCTGTTTTTGGATTTAGAATGCTACTTTATTCAATATGTTTTGATTTTCTCCGAAAGAATAAATTCAATGTACTTGAATCTGGATTGCAAAACGAATATTTCAGACAAAAAGTGATAAACGAACACAATACTGGAATGAGAAAAATCTCTCTATTAGTCGCAATAATTTCAATGCTGAGTTTTGCTCATGTTCAAGTGATTAATCTATTTCTTTTTTATCCCGCTATGCAAAGAAGACAATATTTTGAGGGAGAAGCAATTTTGTGTACCATTCAAATTGCATTAGCTGAAACGTTTTTCATAGGAGGAACTGCGTATGGTTTGTTGTCAGCAGGCGTTGTATTCATAGTTGTTCAGAAGGAATTCGAACACCTGCTAAATGAACTCTTAGCAATAAGAAAAAGTACATTTCTGTCAAATAATTTGAATAAATTTATTAGTCATCACGAAGAATTGTGGATATTTATCAATCAGGTGAATAGAGAGTTCTCTTCTGTGTTCTGCTTTGTTTACTTTGGTGTCATCTGGATGACCAGTTTCTGGTTTTATGGATATTTATTTATAGAAATGAACGAATTAGCGCAAAATATATATTTTGCAATGTCCATCGTCTTTACGTTTATCTGTATAAATATGGGATGTGCATTGTGCTGTATGGCTTTCACGGTAAATGCTATTCTTGTTTTACTTCTTTAATTAAGTGAATTCCTTCGGCTTTCGTATAGATTCTTTATATTATAAACATTATTATGTTTTTATTTATCAGATGCAGAACGCTTTTCAAGACATTCGTCAATTTGCTGTATGCAACTTAAAACCGGAACAGAAGCTAAAGGTATTGTTTATATTTGCTATGAGATTGTTTCAAATGAATTGTTGGCGATATTTTACGAGTTCGCCTGATATTGGTTATATTTATGAGATCTCAAATGAAAATTTTTGGTGTCGCATACTGAGATTAGATTTGTTTATTATTGTTATAAAATGACATTTATCGCTTTTCGTAAAGAACTAATATTTACGGTCCCGTATACAATATAAACGCATTTAGTTTTCTGCCAGTTTGTGCATGATCTTTGAAGAAGGAGACGAAGACATATCTTTACTTTTTCAGTATTTAGTACAGGTTTATCAAGTACAAGTAATGAAAAAAATGATCTTTTGTTAAGATTTAAACGTCATATATCTCGAAATTTCGCGTTTTTCCGTTTTTCTTTTTGCAAATAAACTACAGCAACATATGATAGAGATATAGAGATGGAGATTTGAATACAGGAAAGATGTACATTTGTGGCATAAATTTCTGGTCTGAACTTGTGTGATCAAAATTCATTTTCACTATCACAAAAAGTGAGAAAACAAGAAATTTATATAAAGTTACATTCTGTTGGTGTAAAAGTTATGCCATTTTTAGATGTTTTATTCAGTCCTGTTACTAAGTGTCGTGCAAATGACAGGAACGCTTAATTTTACTACTTCAGCGCTGTACTTCTGCATATTACAGACTCCGATGAAGCAACTCGTTTTTCCTGTTTTCCATCAATGTTTTCGTTGTGATTAGGGTTTCTCATTTCCCGGTCTTTTGCTTGTCCCGGGTTTCTGGGATAAAAATGAACTGTTTCCCGGGATAAATTTAATTATTTTTAAGATACACAAAATATCGTGAAATCAAATGATATAATTATTTTTCGTTTTTTAAAGTAATTTAATACGTTCTGTAACTTCCAAATTCACATTAATAACGCTGTGTAAGATATATACTGTACTCCGATCAGTCAGTCAATCTAATTCTTATTTTAGTAATGAAAAGTCTTGCTATCGAGAATGCCCTTTCCGATTCAATTGATGTGAGTGGAATCGTGTTTAATGCATTTAAGAGAAGACAAATATTATGTGTTTTTTCACCTGTAGATTTCTAGTTCGTTTTAGAGATTGTAGTATAGTAATACCCCCACTTACGCGAACCCGGATTTATGCGATTTTCAAATGTCGTCGATACGTCTTTTGTTTGAGCGCCACGCAACTCTTGATTACTCACTCCCCCACACTATTGTTCAGCTTACATGTTCGGACGTGTCGCGCGGAATCGACACATAACACAAAATAAATTATAGCTATTTATTTGTGTTGTTATATCTACGGAGACTTGAGAGACTATGTGGTGATTTTTTTTGTAACCGTGAACGAATCAAAAGACGAGATAAGATTAACGAGAACATTTATTAGCTTACATACATCCAACTTGGATTTATACAAATTGCGAAATTATACCCCGACTTTTTACGCGGTGATCGCTCGGTCCCACCTATCGCGTAAGTTCGGGGTATTACTGTACTTCTTTTGTTCTCTAGTATTCTTGATTTATCTACCTCGACTGCTTTAATAAAAACATCATAGCCCAGTAATTCGGCAGTTCGTTTGTCTTTAATAATCAGGTTATGAAAAAAACTTAATACTTGCAGACTTCGTACTCGTTTGTATCCTTGCCCAATTTGCGCAACCTGGCGTTACGCAATTATTGAAGCTACTGGGCATTGTTAAAAATTAAGACAGCTTAAGCAGAATTATTCCAGATATTACAGGTTATTACAAGTAAAGAATTTTGAGAGTCCTGCTACAAATAAACTACGTATTGATTATTGACCATTTGTGACATGCCGTAACGAGCAAAAATTTAAAAAAAAATCTAATAAGTAGGTTTAAAACTAATAAATTCAAATGTATTCTGACAGTTTATGAGTTAATTATACTTTCTATTTGCAAAATTTCCTGAACCTGAACACAAAATAAGAAAAAAAGTGAATTTTAAAGAAATTTGCGGGATTTCCCGGGATAAGAAAAATTTCCCGATTTAAAAAACAACCGGGATCCCGTTTGAAAAACCATAGTTGTGATATTGTGTAACGATTTAGAATCATTCAACAATATGTAAACGTTTAAATGTTTTATATTGTACCTGTATTAAAATATGCCTTAAATCAGTCTGCATTCACCAAACTATAGATGTGTGTAGGAAAGAAAAATTACAACTCGTGATTTACACGCCGAGTTAGGTGACTATCAACTGGAAGATTGCTTTGCTAATGATTTTCAGTTCTTCCGGTTGCTTGACGTGGCCATCGAAACGTGTGTACTGAATAGATGCAGAACAATCAGTTGCGGCGAATGGTTGGAATTCTGTAGTTCTCTACCACACAGTTGCGCCACTAAAGTCTGTGTAGTAGTAGTAGTAGTAGTAGTAGTAGTATTACACCTTCAAAATTTAATGATTTCAATGTAACCGAGTACATCGTTCGAAATTGGCCTTATTGGAATTATTTAATTTTACATTTTTATTTATAGAGTTGAAGTCAGGTGTTACTTATTGTAAATTATTTTCTTGTATTTTTTTTTGTTAGTAATTGATAATGGTTTATATTTTTTCTTACAGATTCTCGACTTCATGAAAAGATTCGGAAAAGTTTCATTGTGTCTTACGGTGGGTGGATTTTTCGTCGTCGATAAAAAAGTTCCATTTAAGGTAACAATTTCGTTGTTCTTTTACATAATTGACAAATTACAATAATTTTAATGTTTCAATAAAGAAGAACGTTTACAGATAATTAGAAAATGTTTTGTTTTTCAGATGGTGAAAACTTTACAATCTGTTTTTTCAGGACTTTCAAAATTAAGGAATGTATTGAATATGAAGAAAGGGTGCGACAAGAATTTAATCACTAATTACACTTATTATAATGAAAAATAGATAAACTGAGAAGTGAGAAATTATAGAAATTGGAAGTACAACAATCTTATAATCGAATGATGAAAACATGAAAAGAATTAATTCCTCGTTATCTTGTTCACAATGTATTTATATCCTTCACGTTTCAGTTCATACTGCAAATTGTTTTTATATGAATAGCTTGAAAATATTGTTACGAGCTATGGGGCTCGGGATATAAATTCAAAACACAGTTTACCAAAACCGACACTTTTACTTAGATACACTAAAAAACAAAAACGTTATATAACTCGTTAAAAGAAAAACAAATCTTCTCGAACGTCCTACTTTTTCAAATTGTTCTTTTTTTTTAAAAAAAACATTCGTTTTGTTTCGCCACTCTCCGCATCATGGTGCTAGTCTATTTTTACAGCCGGCGCGACAATATATATCTCTGAAGAAATTCGAAAACATTTTTCCTAGTCCTAAGCTCATTAAATGACTTAGATTACCAAATTGAAAAACTGATGCTAAGATACATTTTGTTATATTAAACATTTCCATGTGATTTGTAGAATAAATAATATTAATTATTAATCAATTTCAAGATTACATTTTTATAAAATCTATATATTTTTTTATTAAGATCTTTCTCAATACTCTCAATAGTAAAAACATTGGTTTGTGACATACAGTAGAGCATCGATTATCCGACTCAATTGGGGACTGGGGTTGGTCGGATAACTGAAAAAACGGATAATCGAAAAATATGAAAAAATACATTATTAGTATATCCTGTGTAATTAGTATATTAGTATATCGCTATTAACTTACTTCGCGTTGAATTTTCATCGATGTTAAGCCTATTTCCATCGATTATTATTTAAAAAATTTTTTTTAAATAATAATCGTCGCTATTGTATCGTTAAAAATTAGAAAATTAAGCCTCGTTTAAATACTGGCTAAAACACGTAAAAATAATATTAAAGTAGCCAAGACAGCCAAATATTGTAGCGCCACATCACTAGCGGACATTTGAATTTGCCGACTAGAACGCGGTCGGTTAACCGATGTGACGGTTGATCAGGGGTCGGATAATCGATGCTCTACTGTATATGCGTTTGCGGTATTTAAAACTTTCAATGAAAAAGTAGTATAAGTGATAAAATATTTTTTTTGTTAATAAAAAATAATATAATTGTGAATTGTAAATCTGTATTCTCTCGTATTATATGACATATTTATTGGCTACGGAATTATTAGAATGTGATTACAATAACAATTAGACAACAAAACTTATTGAAACCTAATGCAATTTATCTTGGTAAACGTATTCTGTATTTATAAATTAACCACTCAGCAGTGAGTTTCGAATATATTCGTCAAGGGCGATCGTGTGGCAGTGGTGAGCGACGTATATATTCGCAAAAAAATTCTTATATGAAATGCCTGGACCATTTCGTGAAGTAGAATTTTCACGAGTAGTTAGATTCTCCAACTTTGTTTTGAAATATCTTTTAGTTCACGAGAAATTACAATAAAAGAGAGAAAATTAAAATAAACATGAAATTTTAGAAGTCCATCTATCGACATAAATCGAATTTAAACCTCCCGCCATCATCTGATTGGTTAAAAAAATTTATATTCCTAATTGGCTCACGTCAGAAAAAAGTAGGTGTGACTACTATAAATCTCCCTATCGCGACAGCTCCGATACAACCAGGAAAAGCCGACAATCTACGTCATCGGTCTAATACCCCGTTCGCACCGAGCATTTCGATCTAGATTGTGGCTAAGGTCAGAGACAGTTCCGTGGTGCGAACGCTATCGACCGTTTCAATCTCGACTGAAACGAGGTTCAATCTCGATCGACTCGATAGAGTAATCGAAACTAGATCCAGTCATAAGAGAGATCCCACAATCCCACGCGCGCGAGAAAATACAAGATGGCTGCGGAAGACGTGTCGAGCTATCGACAGAGAAATAAAAAAGACATCTGGAAAGACAACGACATCTATCTATTATTAGATATATGGCAAGAAAAAGTATTTATTTCTAACCAAAACTTCCGTTTTGTTTGTTGGTGTTTGTGAAGTGAGTCGTGGATTGTGTGCGAACGTAGTATTATAGTACGTTCGCACACAATCCACGACTCACTTCGATCTCGAGGTAAGATTTACCCTCCGAATGAGGGGGTAGCCACACCCCCCCAACGGGTAGCCCTCCCCCGTACGAACAATAAATGTCTAAGGTTCGTTAACTGCCATTCGCTAAGGGGACTTATCGAATGTCCCGTGTATCGCTTTCGTTGAGTTATCGGAAGAGCTCAGAATAGGTCCCCTGACGAGGCATCAAAGAGGTGCCGACCTTCCGGTCACAATTACTTTAGAATAAATGGCATCTGTAAATTTCATAATTTTATTTATTAGAAAAAAGCATTCTTTTAACTTTAAACAGCTATTGATAATG